CAGGGGGAAAGAAGCGAGAAGCTTGTGAGAATTCTGTGAGTTGATGATGGGAAATTAAAATACAGATTTACCATAATTGACCATGAACTAAAGCCTTCTGCCCAATATATTCAAGTAGCAAAGTTTCTTAAAGTGTAGAATGATATACTTAAATTTAAACCCAAGTTATCATGGAATTATATTCATCTGAAACAAAGTATGTGCTTGGTTCTTTTAGAGGCTATAGGTTCTATGTGGCACTGTCCAACAGAATTTTCTCTGATGGCAGTAATGTTCACTGTAATTTGCACTGTCCCACACAATAGCCAGTAGGCACATATAGCTATTGGACATTTGAAATGTGGCCAATACAACTAAGGAAATAATTTTTTTGTTTGTTTTTTGAGATGGAGTCTCACTCTGTCACCGAGGCTAGAGTGCAGTGGCACGATATCGGAGCACTGCAACCTCCGCCTCCTGGGTTCAAGCGATGCTCCTGCCTCAGCCTCCCAAGTAGCTAGGATCACAGGCACATACCACCAGGCGCAGCTAATTTTTGTGTTTTTAGTAGAGATGGGGTTTCACCGTGTTGGCCAGGCTGGTCTCGAACTCCTGACCTCAAGTGATCCGCTTGCCTCGGCCTCCCAAAGTGCTGGGATTACAGGAATAAGCCACTGTGCCCAGCCTATTTTATTTAACTTTGGTTATTGTTAACTTAAACAGCCACATGTGGGTAGTGGCTCCCCAGCTGGGCAGCACAGCTATAGGGGATTTGATATACAAGCTCCCTGACTTGGTCCATGCCTGCTCTCCAGCTCCGGGTCTGCTCCTTCTCCTTGCCCCAGAAATCAACACTCACAAGGCCAAACTGCTGTCCCACACCTCTATGGTTGTGCATATTCTGGCCCATTGACTGAAATAGCCTTCCTCCACATCCACCTCCAAACCTTATCAAACATCTTGTTCAGATTTCATTTCCTCAGGACAACTTTCCCTAACCTCCTCCCGCCTACCTCCTGCTACTGCCAACACAATCTACCATCACTTCCTCTGTGTTTCTCTGCATCTGTTTCTATTGCTGCTCTCATCATCCTGTAGTTGTAACCTATTTTCTGTGACACTAACAGACTATGAAAATTGTAAGGACCAGGTCTTACGCGTTTCTTCATCCTAGTGACGTGTGCCCAACACACAATACATGTGCAGTAAATATTTGCTGATACCATTATTAATTTTTAAATATGTGAATGTTTTCTTAAAATTATTTTTGGAGCATTGACAACCACCTTGTGATTATGGGAACTATTTAAGTCAAAGTCTATTATAAGGCCAATTTTCAAATAATAAAAAGTTCTTAGAGTATCAGTTGAAGTTCTTATTTCAAACCACATCAATATAACATTTTAGTACAAACTAAATAATATAATTGATCCCTTAGAGTTCCCTAGAACAAAATCCTACCTATAGCTCTTCCTCCTAAGGGTCTGGAAGTCTCTTGGATTTCAGAAACTGATCTTGTCACTGATCTGTCCCCAGTGCCTGCAGTCACTTAGTAGGGAGACATGAATGAGATTTAAAAGCAAGAAGACAAAAGGACCTGATTTAAGACTTGTCAAGGACACCATCAAATGGGAATTCAGGGTAATCCACCCTTGCTATACCCTATATCCAATCTTACCCTCAAGAAGGAAATAATTGAAACCTTATCCATCACAAAAAATAATGTTCATAAGTGATGTGTGTCTGCTTAGTGACATGCTAGCCAAAAAAGAACTGTCTGTTTTCCTTATTCTTTGGCAAAGCTCAAGAAATGGTCCTTTCATAGACTATGTAGCATGTGTTGCAATATTAACCTGGTCTGACAGCCACACTGGTTCATATTTTCCCATCATGATTTTCTAATTTTTTACTTAAATTCTCACACAAGTGTTTCTTTAATTAGAATAAGCTCATGATGGATACATTTCTGTGAATCTAATTTGTATGAAATATTTCCCAAATATCAAGCATCTGGTGAATGTATTTTACAAATGATTGTCTTTCCCGACCTCCAGGAACTTACAGTTTAATAATGCAAACAAATGAATACACAGTGATGAGAAATGTATATGTGTGGGTACAGCATGGCAGAAGGTCCTTGAGGAGAGTGGATTTCAGAATGACTGTAAATCCAAATGACTTTACCTTCAAATTAGACATAGATTTGACGTTCATTTTCTTATTAATTATGTGATTTTATGTTGAAATGCACAAATGGCACTTTCTAATGTAATTAACATCGATTTAACAAATAACTAAGTTCTTTAGATCATTTAGATAAGTCTCTAATTTTCCTATATATTAACAGATTTTAAAGTCTTTTTTCTGGTTTTCCTTTTCCCTTGCCCAATACATATCTTCCAGAATTTTAATCAAAGTAGATATTTCAAAGAAGACAAAGGTCTGAGATCTCTTTAGCAGTTTCTAATGAATAATGTGAGATAAACAACTTTTTCTAAAATGTCTCATTTAAATATAGGGATATCAATTTATCTTTTTAACTTCCTTATAAAATCTGCCCATCTAAGAGGAACACTGATTAAGTGTAAAAATTATGTTCTATATGTTATTGGAATTGCTTGTGAATTCTACTAATATAACATGCACTTATTTCCAAAAAGTGTCTATTGCTGCTCAGAAAAGGAAGATCTGGTTTTCAAAGAGTGTGTTTTGAGGTTAAAAATGAAGATAGTGACCCTAACTCTCTCAAGGTTTGTAAGGCTGGCATGCCATCTATCTCAATAATACCTAACAAGAATGTCAAATGGACAGAAACAGCCACGGTAAGCGGGTGCTTGCCGCTGCCAGTGATTGCTGTATTTTGGGTGATGGGGAACACCATTTCCATTAGTTCAAGTGAAATACAATGCCCTGCCAACTCTAGGTATCACTGTATTCAATAACCCTGCTGTGCCATGTCCATTTTCTGTTGCTGCAATTAAAAATTAGTCGATACAAAGTCAAAATGTTGTACATCCTTCCCCTATCCCTTTCCCTGTCACCGTGTTTCCAGCTTCACCGGAAGAACATGTCACTATGGCAACCAATCCCTCCGGTGCACAGACCAAGTCAACCTTTCTAGTCAGACTGCCAAGCAGAGCAACAGGGAATCAAAGCTCTGAATGGAACCGCCAGAAACCATGAATTCCATCCCCCTTTCTCTAAGTGGGGTTAACCAATACAAGAAGGGATACCTCTCTTGTTCTAGAAGGCATTCAAGGAAGGAAAAGTAAGAATATCCTTCAACAAATTCTCCCAGTGTTTGCTGTTCATTATTAACATGAATTCTCCCTTACATTTCAGCTAACTTCCTCTCATTTCAACTTTAAAGAAAGCAGAAAATCATGGATAAAATAACACTTTATAAATCTGAGAATCCGAACACTGTTATAAGGTCACTCATTGTCAGAAACTATTCTAGGCCCTCTTGTTTTCCTGCCTTGATGTCCAAACCCAAGCTGCTCTCTTCTGGACTCCCCTAATATTCTGTACATCTTTACGAAGTGGTAATGCTCCAAAAGGGTCACCTCTTCCAATAAGAGCCCAATTGTGAAGCAAATGGGATATTGGTTGTATTAACACACCCACAACAAAATCAGCTAAAATCCCTAGTCATTCTAAAGAAGGTACAAAACAAACACTTAGATAGATTCTGTCTCTGAAGTCACCTCACCTAAATCTGACCTGGCCACCTACACCAGACCCACTGCTAGTCACTCTTAAACAATTGACTCTTTTTCAAATTAACAATTTTTCCTGATCAACTGCATACTTGTATCCATCAAAGAACATCAGTTCTCATAAATATTACTTTAATACAGCAGCAAACTTCACAGCATTATAATGAGACATTAAGAACTGCTTTTATATCTTGGCCTCAAAGACTTTGCAAATAATAGTATCTTTGTCACCTTGACATCACCATTTAATAGTCAAAGAGAATGAAACACAAGGGGGAAAAAACCAGACTCATAAAATCTGCACATCTTCCTGGGATGTAGCTACCATAGAAGAGAACATATTCCTTTCTTCAGAGCAGTATTAATACACATTCAAACAATATTCCAGTGGGTTGACAACAGGATGGTTCTCAAAGTATAAATCACACAAGGTTTACAAATTCCATCAGATAAGCAGAATTTTTTAAGTAATGTAATCATATTAAAGTATCAAATAAATTTGTATCATTGGCAAATGCAGCTTGTTTTCTGTTTTGGTTATACACTTTGGGAATTTTTATATACATTTTCTGAAAATCTCATTTTTTTTCTCTGACATGCCCACTTTGGTGTTACTCAAAGAACTATTTTTTTGTTGTTGTTTTTACTTATTAGATCTTGTTGATATTCAATGCACACAAGAAAGTCACTACTGTCAACCACTGTTTCAGAAGGAGACATGAAGAATTGTGATATGATGCTGCTGGTCAGCTGGCTTCGAACTGCTTACAGGACAGGGGCTGTGATTTATTGGTGTTTATATGACCAACGCCTACACCATACCTGGTATAGTATAGCGCTCAGCAAACGTTTCTGGTATGAATAAGGCCTTCTCTGTGAAATGTTTCCCCCAATTTCCCTTGATTAAATCAGTTCAACAAAAAGTATTGGGAGCCTGTCTACCCCGACACATGACTCTTACAGGGCTTCCTTTAAGAGCACAAACGCCGTTCGAGATTCCCTTCTTCTCAGAGGCTGATGAAGCATTATCCTGGATAAGAACCCTGGACTATGAGGTTCCACTCGAATCCCGACAGAGACGCGCGAAAGGAGAGGCAGGGGAGAGAGTTAAGCCTGAACCAAGCTTCATTAGCAGCTATTGGGAGGCAAGTTCCGGCCCCGAGGCTCAGCCAGGCCTGGATAACCCGACCGCCTGGAACCCAGAGACCTGATAGCCTGTGGCCTGGGGAGGAAACGCGAGGGGCTGCGGGGCCTACAGGCTCCGGGCTCTTCGCAGCGCCACGCCTAGCGCCCGGCGCTTACCTTTCCGAATGAGGGCGGCGATCTCGGGGTCGAAGCCCTGCCGGTGGCACTTCCTCCAGAGACCCATGTTGGTGGAGTTGTACTGCCTGCTGCACTCGTCCGCGGGGCTCATGGCGAACAGCTGCCGGCGATTCCGCGCCCGGAGGAGTTTGCCCTCCCAGCGGTCCAGGCGCGAGCGGCTCGCCCGGAGCGGCAAGTTGTTGTTATTGTTGTAAATGAAGCCAGGGTCGACCCGGCGGGTGTTGAAGGCCTTGCACCTGTCCCTGTGCTTCCTGGCGTCCGTCTCGTACCAGTGGTCCGAGCAGATAGCCACGGCCAGCATGCCGAGGGCGCAGAGCGCTAGCGAGAGGCCGGTGTAGAGCAATAATCTTCCGGCAGCCATGCCTCCGCTTGGCGGCTACACCATGGGCATGATCCGCCGCAGCCTCGCCTTCCCTCGCCGCACCCGGAACAAAGCGGCGAGCGGCCGAGCTGGGGGAGGGGGCAGGAGAGGGACTCGCGCCGCGGCCCCCCCTCGGCCCCCGCCTACCGGAGCGCGGCCCGGGGACTGCGGGGATGGGGGCGGGCGGCCTAAAAAGTTCTGATCTGGAGAGGCTCCCGCTGGCTCCTGGGCATCCTCTGGGGCAGGTGCAGCCTCCGGCGGCGGCGAACCCAGTGCAGCCGCCTCCCGCCCCCTCCCCGCCCCGCAGGAAGCGACTGCCCCGAAGCGGCCGCCTGGGCTCCCAGCCCGGCTTCGGGCGCCGCTGCCCTCGGGCCGGAAACTAAATGCCAAGTGTCCTCGGCTGCGGTGGGGCTTGCGGGGGTTTCTTTGTGCAGGATGGTGACGGGACAGAACTCGCCTGTCTCTCTAAGGGAGACGGGGGGTGCTGTCAGGAGGCGCCACCCGACCACCGGGTGAAGTGGAACGCCCCCGATGCGGCCGGCGGGCGAAAGAAACCTCCAGGTGCTGGGGCCAGCTTCTCCGAGTCCCTCCTGGGTCTCCGGCTCAGAGAGTCTCTCCCTCCCCGTCTGCAAGCAAAGACCTGGGGCGCGCACCCAGAAATGTTCTTCCTCTCTGGGTCGGATCCTTTTTAAATCTCCGTTCTCTGGTCACCAGCAGGTCGGTTGCTCCTTCTGACCCGCGTGCTGCGCTCAGAGGCGCACTCCCAGCGGACGCACGGTCTCGGCCGACCTTTTCCCGCGAGCTCCCCGGTGCACTGCCTCTGGCATCGCCATTCAGGCGGCCCCTCGGGCCGACAGCGTGGTCACCTGGGCGGCGTTACCGGACAAGTCCCGGCCGGGGGTCTGCGGAGACTGGGCGGCTGCTGGCGGACGCGAGGGGCAGGCTGCGCGGCCGAGGGCGCACCGGGCAGCGCTTGCGGCGCACGGCGCTGGGGGCTCGGCGCACCGCGCCTTCAACACCATGGACAGGTCACGCCGTCGCGGCGCGCTGCCGGCCCAGCCGCCAGCCCCTGAGCGTCACGCAGCTCTTCCCAGCGCCGTCTTCTGCCTGGAGTGTCCACCCGGCCGCCTCTGGACCCGGCTCTCCCGCGACGCCTCCGCCTCACTTCATCTGGCACCCGGGAGCCCCGGGAGCCTGCCGCCCAGGTGCAAAGAAAATGCCGCAGGCACCAAGGAAAACCCCGGTCCCGGCCTCTCCAAACAATCCGCCCCTTTCTCCAGCCACCTGAGCCCCTGGCACTCTGGCACCCCGTCTGCTCTGCCCAGCTGGGCTCAGCCGCTCTCAGATTGCACCATTTTCTTCTCAGCCCACCCTAGCGCCGAGATGCCGGCTCACTCGGCAGCGTGCAGAGAATCCCGTCCCGGCCTCCGAGTCCCACGATCCGGCTGCTGGCGCGCGGTGGTCGCCGAGATGAATGGAGAGAGGGTGGGGGAGGGAGGCTGGGTTACTCGGCTTCCCCTCGTCGCCTCCTCCTCTAGCCGCGGAGGCTCCGAGGCGTGGCAGGCTCGGCTGGTGCCCGGGAGGCGCGAGAACCCAAGCTGCGCCCAGGGGACTGGGGAAATCGCATCGCCCGGGTGCGGGCGCCGGAGGCAGCCGCTGCCGCGCTCTCTTGTCGGGCGCGGGTAGCTGCAGCCTTGGCTAAAACCCACAGACGAGAACACCGAGCGCGCAGCCAAAAGCTAGTGATGTCATCCGTGCAACGTGAGCCTCATCTCTTATTTTTCTAGCCTCCTTAAAGATAAACTGCACCATTTCCCAGGCACGAAATGTCTAAGTCTTATTCTTTGACCAGGCAAGTCAATGGTGTCTAGATAGGTATGTGCCCAACCACATCCATATTTATGCACATATACATATATGTGGTATGTAGCATGTTTACATGCATTATTATAAATTTAGGGATGTTGCCTACAGCTCCTGTTTCTCTTTTCAGCCATGGGAAATTCTCTCAAATCCACGACAGTTATTTAAAGGAAAAACTGCTTATTGCGGAGTGGGCCTTCAAAGGGGCCGAGCGAGCTCCCTGCGTCCCCGGTTTGGGTCGCTGGTGTCTCGGGATGCATTTGATCTTTCTCCCCACCCCCCGCCCCCAGAAAGCCACAGGCGCTACCTTGCTAGCTACAGGCGTTTCCACCCAGGGCTGAGCTGAGAGCGGCTGCGGAGTTAACCGGCCAGCCCCAGTCCAGTCCCAAGCCAGAGCCAGGCACCCCGACACACACCCACCTCCACCTGCCCTCCCTCCTCAGCAGGAACAGAAAGAAGAAATTTGGCCGATCCACTCAAGACAAGGAGAGAAATTTAATGGTGGATGGGGGGTGGTCGGTTAGTAGATATTTTGAAAACGCTGGTGAGCGAGCGTTGAGGAGGGGAGGTGGAGTTAAAGGAAACCTCGATGTGGGGTTTGTCATTTTGTAAGGGTGGCCGCTGGATTTAGGCTCTGCAGGGGTTCTGGGAGGTAGCGCCGGACCCCAGACCTTGAGCAGGTGGGCCCCAGGCAAGCCCCGCTTCATCCCAACCTCAGCCCGCCTGCTCTGCTCACGTGAGACGGCGCCGCAAAGGCTGGGAGCCTCCCTCCCGGCATCAAACGCTGGGGTTTTCACTAATGCTCACCCCTCGTTTTCACCCTCACTCCAAAGTCGAGGTCCGGCATTGCCGGGTAAAGAGTTGCCCTGGGGAAAAAGAGAGTGTCTCACACCCTGCTTTGCACAACGGGGCTTGTGAGCCAAAATGAGCGCACCTCCACCATATTCTTTTTGTCTTTTTTTTTTTTTTTTTTCTCTGTCTCTCTCCCTCTTTCCTGCATTTTGAAAATCGCGAACGAGGCGTTTCAGTGCCATCTAGTGGGGGAGGGGTGTGCCTCGCTTTCGCTTTTCACCCCTGGATTCTGCAATGGGATTTGCCAAAGGGACAGCAGAGCCTGAGGACGCCCGCTGGATTCTCGGGTGCCCGGCTGGTCGAGGGACTGCAGGCATGCGCCCTTGGCCAGATCTCTGCCCTCTGGCTTCCCTAGGATGTCGACATACAGCCAAGTGACTTTGGCGCCAGTGTCTTCTCACCTTCCTTTCTACCCACCCCCCTTAACCAGGGCACCCTCCCCCAACGTTGAAAATAGATAAACAAATAAGCACAAACACTTTGCACTATGCAGACAACATCTTAAATTTCTGAAGTTATCTTCTTCACTAGCGTCCAGAGCACTTTTAGGCTAACAAGCTACCTGCATTTGATAACAGGGAGGTAAAAAGGGGGGAGATGACATCTACAAGGTTACTCAGGAAATCAGGGCACCGGGAGCCTTCAAGCCCCAGTCTCCTGGTTCCCAGCTTTCCTCTCTCCTTAAATCCAGCTGAAGGGGGTGCCCCTGAGACCACTGGCAGTCCAGGCAGTTGTTCATTCCCAGTAAATGTACCTGTTTATTTTGTCCTTATCTTTCCTTCCTCTTCCATTGTGTCACCCATCTAGTTTCTCCTGGCCTGTACCTGAGGCCTGCCTGCAAGGATGTGCCTGGCCCACTGCCCAGGGTCCTCAGCAGTCCTGTATTTTGGGCCCTGCTTGCAGTCAGAACCCAAATGGTACACTATCCTCCTCCTTACTAAACATCATTAAAATTCTATTTTGAAATGTTTGTCCTTGATGAAATCCCAAAAATCCTACAAAGTTATTGATTCATGGCCTCCTTTGAAGTGCAATTACCTTGGGCAGCCCTATATTGTTATGGGATGATCGTGGTCTTCAGGGCTAAGATGCTCACATGACTATCTTTTCTTAATTGGGTGATCTAAGTTTCTTCCTGCTGCCTGCTTCCAATTCCTTCCACTCTGCTAGCTGCAGCATCACCATCTTTGTGTTTCCAACCTATTTCTTCCCATTTGCACCAACACTGTCCCAGATCATAGGATCTCAAAATCAGAAATCTTTGAGTCAAACACACACGTAATAATGCATGAATCTCTTTTAGAACATTTTCCAGAGAGTGAATGACCAGCTTCTGCTTGCACACTTGAAGTGATGGGGGAATCACTTTGTCTGCAAGTGGCCCAGTCCACTTCAGACAGTGTAAGTAGCTAGACAGTTCTTCCCTATACTGAGCTTTCTCGTAAGTCTGTATAACTTATACTCATTGGCCTTTGTTTTTGCTTTCTAGAGGCCCACAGATGAGGCCTGATTTATCTTCCATTTAGTGGTCCTTCTTGCCCTTGACATCAGTCATCATGTTCTCCCTACACCTTCTTTCCTCCAGACTAAATACCCCTTGTTCATTCTTGTGTTTGCTCTTCTTTGGTTTCTGATACTTCCTGGTTGTTGGTGTTCCTTTTAGCTAATACTTCCTTCATCTAGAAGTCATGTAAACCTATGAAGAAAATTTGGTAAGTCTGTCATGTTTTTATATGACCTTTGTGGAGTTCTAATGATCCTCACTTTCTCTTCTGGGAGCCCATAAGTCATCCCCTTCTTAAGCCATTCCTAGAAACTTGCTCCAAAATGGCATTAAGGTCATTGATCTCTGATTTGTGAAATCTGCATTTTTGAAATTTGGAGTTTCATTTGTTCACACCCACCCACTCCCTTTTTTAAAGCGACATTAACATTCTGCAAGCTTTCTCTAAAGTCACCGAGAAAGGTTGAGACATCATTGAAAGTTCTCTCCATTTCCTGGAATACAGTTCACCTGGAGCAGACAGATGTTTTCCTCCAATTTCTTCACCCATTCTGAACTGTCCTCAGTTACCATATTGTTCTACCCTGTACCCCACCTCTGGCCTGAAAATCTCTCTTTGACACTGTCAATTGAAAGCAAAAATAGTTGATGAGATGTGCTTTCTCTTTGCCATCTATCAATATCAATATTACACAATTTGGCCAGGTGCAGTGGCTCACACCTCTAATCACAGCACTTTGGGAGACCGAAGTGGGAGGATTGCTTGAGCCCAGGAGTTTGGACAAGAGCCTGGGCAACATAGTGGGATCCTATGTCTACAAAGCCGGGTATGGTGGCATGCACCTGTGGTCCCAGCTATTCAGGAGGCTGAGGTAGGAGGATCACTTGAATCTGGGAGGTCATAGCAGCAGTGAGCCATGATGGCAACACTGCACGGCAGCCTGGGAAACAGAGTGAGCTCCTGCCTAAAAAAAAGAAAAACAAAAAGAAAAGGCACCATTTGTCTAGAGAAAAGTTTCCCCACATAT